TTATTTACAGTTTTATGTTTTTAGTCAATCAGTTTCTTTCAGCTGCTCCTTGTTCAGGGGTCACCACAGCGAGCGAACTCGCATGAAAGATTTGGCAATTTGTTTTACACCAGATGACGCAAGCTGGTTTCAAACCCGCAACCTCAGGATTACAAGACCGTGGCACTGACCACCGAGCTACCGCAGCCCCAGATCATACATTTCTAGTATTTTTTTTATATTCACTCAGAGATCGTTTAGGAGTCTTTAACACTTTGTTGAAGCTGTGTTTACAAGTCAATGTAGGAATACATATAGTGGTTCTCACAGTTTACTGAGAAAACCCAAATGTGAAATTATTCAAGTGACAAGGTTTGATGGGAGTTACTTGTGCGGGAAAATTAGCTTATGCTGAGTGTTAGTATGGATCGCATTAGGAGCTTGTTTTTACTTCCTGTCGATGTCGTTGATAAATGTATCATAATTTGTATTGTAGTGTATAATCAATGGGGAATAACTGGTTAATTAATATTGCTGCAAAGTCATGCAATGCACAAAAAGGATCTTGCAGATGTGGTAAATTGTACAAACAACAAAAAGACAAAGACAGAGTGTGAAAATGGCCAAAAGGAGAAAAACTCTACTTAGCTAGCAGTGTTTGTGTTTATGGTATATAGCTGTGAGAAAAGGTGTGTGTATGTGTGTGTGTTGTGTGTGGGGGTGCATGAGCTTTCAGACACCTGCTTCATTCTGCAGTGATGGCTCCCAGCGGGACACAGGCTCAGCTGCTGATCACCAGGCCCTCCCTGCAGCACTGGTGGCCAACACACACACCCAAACGCACTGACACACTCCTCTTCCAACAACAAATGCGAACCCTTCAAGCTCCCTCCTTATAGTGTTCCTCGTAACTGACACACCACATGTGCTCAGATCAGCCGTAAACATGACACGATGCACAAGCTGCACGGTCCATGTTCATGTGGTGCAGAATATAAATTCAGTGCAGCAGAGGGGTCTTAACTCGCTCCACTCTAGTGAGTAATGTGCTATAGGCCGCATTGTTAAAAATTATATATCCTTACAGCTAAAAGGGTTTTGCTGCATCAAACCGCTTTTAAATCTGCACTTGTCAAGAGAGAAATCATCACCTCTTTTTCTTTATTTGCAGTCATATTTTCTAAAACAAAAATCGGCCTTATTGCTCATTTAAAATTTACAGCCGATCGCCTAACAGGTTCAGAACATTATAAGAAAGCCACGTTTGTTTTTTCCCCTCTCAGTCGCGTGTTAATCAGCCGCTATTGTACTTGTGGCGTGATTATCATTCCTGATCCTGCAATTTGCACATTTCTGCGTCGCTCCATTCCGCGAGCGTCTCTTTCTCATTCGGCGTCGTCCTTCAGTCTGCTGCACCTGTTTGCGCCTCGGTGACAGCAGGGTTGCAGAGCATAAATGAACTAATTTCCTGGATATAGACAACACGGCAATCAAGGCACAGAGAAATGCAGTGAGCGGCAGATGGAAGGAGCTAATTATTGTTATGAAATAGAGATGACCTCTAACTATCTGCTGGCTGCCTATACTCCGTGGTGACATATTTGCCATCTCCTATGCCACCATCCACCCCTTTTCCCTTTCTAGTTTTTGTTGCAATTTGTAAGGATTATAAATGACTTCAGGCAGGTTTAAAATGCAGCCTCTCTCCCTTTGTTAAATGTGGAAACAGAAAAGATTGCAGTTGTCAAACAAAGCCCAGTGTCACATAGAGAACGGCAGCTGCCTGCAGTGGGTAATCAGTGCAGCCTTCTCCAAATTAGCGACATTCAGCTCTGAAGCATGATGCTCAGAAAGTGTTAGTAGATGTGCATTTTTGGAAATTGGATCTCTACGCCAGGAAACCCAGAATTGTTAGGAATTCAATTTCTGTTAGTGTGCTATCTACAAATGTCCCCCTCTTCGTCTGAGATGGACATCGTGATCAAACTGAAACTCGAGAATATTCGTTTGAATTTCATTAACCGTCTGCTTCTGTTCTCATCGCTCAGGAAATTAATTTTTTGAATGCTGTTTTAAACGTCGCTGCCTCGCAAGCTTTAACCAAAGGACGCACAATCGAGAACATGCACACTCAGTCACAGACACAGAGCAAACTGCACAAACATTTTTTTTTTTTTTCACAAAATGAATGCAGTCACGGTTTTCTCCAGGTACTCCGGTTTCCTCCCACAGACCAAAAACATGCATGTTAGACTGATTGGTAACTCTAAATTGTCCCTAGGTGTGAGTGAGAGAGTGAATGGTTGTTTGTCTCGTTTGTCTCTATGTGTCCCTGTGATGGACTTGCGACCTGTCCAGGGTGTACCCCGCCCCTCGCACAGTGATTGCTGGACATGGGCACCGGCGACCCCCGTGATTCAAAATGTAAAAAGCGGGTAAAAGATAATGGATGGATGAATGCAGTCACAATCAAGTAAGCGTAAACTACACTGCAAATATGCAGTTTGTTGGAGAATAAAACATATTTTTTTAAATTGTGCAATGAATATAAATGAAGCCCCTTTTCTTAAATTTTTTAATCTTCATTTTCATCACAGATTTTTTGTTTTAATTAACCATCTTTATCATTAATATGCAACAAAAATTTACCTGCCACTATTATTTCCTTTTCGTAGCACCAGCTTAAAAAAAAAAAAAAAAAAAAAAAGCAATCTTGTTTTTGAACCTTTGCACGCTAAAACAACCAGAATCTTCCAGCACATTTCTCTAATGTATGCAAATGATCTCGCTGGGCCTAATGAAGGCACCATTAATCACTTTAACGATGGTCTTTTTTAACCAGGGTAATCACACACACAAACACACACACATGCGCACACACAATCAACATCTTTTGATCAGAAATTAAGTATTGTTTAAATTATTTTCATCAATACGTTTGATTATTTTCCTTTAAAGATGCCAAATCTGTCGATTGCTTTTACCCTAACGTAAAGTAAAATGAAACAAATGTCTCATCTTCATGCTCCACTATACAAATGACACTTATTTCTACAAAATTCCTCCTATTAAGGCACAAAAACATAAACTATGTTGACATGTCAAGTGCATTTATGCCTCAAATCCAGCTGATTAGTTCAGCTGATTAGATCCAGCATCTTTATGCAAACAGCTGATAACTGTCTAAACAAAAAGCGGAACAGCAAATACGTCAGGTTTTGTAAAATGCCGGGAAACCAATGTACAGATGGCTTTGAACGTGTGCAAAAATTAAAAGCAAAAAGAGAGGGGGAATATGTATTTTTTCAGCTCAGCTCCTCACAGATATATCCCACTACTTAATCTCTTCCCATGAATTTACATAAACTTGATGGAAACCCCTGGGTGCAGTCAGCAGCATGACAGTCGGTTATGAAGGCTTCAGGGAGGCTCCGGGGTGTGGATCTGAGCCAGTTTGAAGGGGAGCCGAACCAGCGAAGAGCCCACAGCAGATTAGACACCCACAGCTTCATGTCGCTTTTATGCGGCAAGTGAGGGATTTTCTTACAACGCTTTCTGCCTAAATGCTTAAGGTTTTCCTCATTCCTGCTTTTCCCTTCTGGGTCCCCTTTCCCTCAAATAATCTTTATTATATAAATTTGTAAATTGCAGAGTAATGTTGACTCTGGTGGAAAATGTATGTCTACAGACGTGCTGTTTTCTCTAAGTCCATTGTAGTGATTTGGATTGAACTGACTGAACTTTCCTTTAGGTTATTTTCAAAGACAAGTTTTACAACTGAAATGCACAGCTCTCGCGTATCTGTGAAATTGTTAGGCAATTTTATTCAACGTCTAAGCACAAAATTAAACTCGGAATACTCCGGGTGCCACAGAATTCACGCAAATCCACAGAAGCTCGTACCCGCTCAGATGCTCACCCATGCATGCATGCACACACAAACACCTCAAATTCCCTTGATAATAATATGACTGGCAGAGGCTAAAGACAGAGTAGGCGGCCATAATCGAACAAACGCAACATTGTAAATATTTACTAATACTATCCGCCGAGAATACAGACAGAATCCCACAAATTGAATTGCTCTCTTTTTATCCTCTTTTCTTTAAAACACACAAAGCAATTTCCAACCAGACTACCTACCACAACACTTTTCTTTTTTATGCTTGTCTGTATTTGTTAAAGAGGTGGAGGTATATTGCTCTATCTTGCCTCTTACCAAGGGTGACCTGTAGCCCATCTGGGCAGGCGATGACAGGAGATCCCTGGGAAATAGCGGCGAGTGTGTCTCGGGGACGGAGCCCACGCCACTGGCTGCTAGTCCCGAGAGCTGCCCGTACCTCGCCATCATCTTGAGATGCTGCTCACAGAACACACACGCTCATACAAAGACACGGGAGGAGAGGGGGAGGAGAGATGGGAGGTGTGGGGGGAGGATAGAAAAAGGGAGGGAGGGGGGTGTCAGAAAAGGGAAGGAGAGCCGATAACAGCAGGTATAGGAAGGACAGTGGGAATGGTAAAGGACAGAAAAGGGAGTGAAGGGGAGAAAACTTGAAGAGAGACGGGTTTACACGAACACGTTGCTCACACAAACGCCATGTGTGAACATGCAACACACTCACACTTACACTGTCCGTGCACATGAAGGTACACAGTTTTAGCCCCACATGTGCAATTTCGCAGCAAACCTGTGTTTAATGGGCTTTATGGCTGCCTCGATTTCATTACAATAGGAGGGGGTCGAAAGTCTGCACTGGCTCTCCATTTATGATTACAAGACAGAATGAGTGTCAGAAACATAGCAGTCCCTTTTTTGTACCAACTAGAGTGCTGTGGAAATAACAAGCTGCTGTTATCAATCATCCCCTGTCTTCTGGGTGTGAGCATAGAGGTGTAGGCACACACACAAACACAAACGCACACACATGGTCATACAACGATACAAATGACAGAATGGTCGGCAGCAGACAGACACAGGCGAGACGTGGACACAAATACAAAGCAAATGCAAGTGTCTTTACCTCATTGCTCAACAAAGCAGCGTTGAGTGTTCGGCTTATTTCGAACATGTTCAGATTCGACGAAATGTTTTTTTTTTTTTTTTGTTTTGTTCTGTCCTTTAATATTTAGACTCTCTTCAGTTTCTGTGATTGGGGAACCAGTCACTCTGTCCCAGGAACACAGGAAAATAAAAAAAAATAAAAAAAATCAACTGAAAAAAGGAGGAGAATAAAAAATAAAAAAAAATCCTCTTTATTTCTGATTTTGGAGCGGTGATTTTTCAGTCCTCTGATTTCTTTTCTTTAATCTGCTCTCTCTCTCTCTCTCTCTCGCTCGCTCTCTCTTTCTGCTGATGCTCTTCTGCTGGCTGTGGCTGTTTAGTGGAGGCGTTTGTGCCCGGGGTCTCCGCACACGTCTGAGGAGTCAATACGCTGCTGTCTTTTAAAATCTCCCCAGAGTCAGCACATTAAAAACAGGCAGTCAGTGGGTCGGTGGGTCAGGCTGGCGGGCTGGCTGGCTCCCTTATCTGTCCCCCGCACACTGGCTTACACAAAACGCTCCGATCCTCACACTGCTCGCTAGCAGATTAGCCTGTCCCAAAACATAGCACTTAGTTTAAACTCTCCTCCCTTTTGCTCTCTTTTTTCTCTCTCTCTCTCTTCGAGTATTGCTCCTTCTGGCTCCCCTCCCTCTCTCCATCCCTTCCTGCATCACGCCCCCCCCCCCCCCCCCCCCCCCTCCCCGCCGCCCCCCCCCCCCCCCCCCCCACATTGCTCATGCATTCAGGCAGCTACAGTTCACTGTGCCACCACAAGGTGGGAAGACTGTTCTTGCATCAGCACCACTACTCTCCTCCTTCCTGAGCATCTCCTATTTCTTAGATTGTTCTTTTCATGTGAAATGCACAATTTTACTACTAGACAAAACAAATACCAGAGTTTAAAAAAAAAACAAGTTGGAAGCAGTAACTAAGTTATTTGGTTTTAATTAGAATTTTTTTCTAACAAAAAAGAAAAAAGCTATTTGTATTAGATAAAAATTTTTGAAAGATAACTCCTTTACAAAAAAAAGGCAATCATTGTTAGTAATAGATGCTCAAAAGCAAGTTCAACTGAAGCATCCATGGGTAACAGAGAGGATGGACTGAGCATCAAGGTCAGGTGGTTGTCCTCCTTCTCAGTAGGGTGTGGCACAGAGATGACGAAGCAGACAGTCACAGTCGTGGCAGGAGATCCCAAAGTTGAAACAAACAAAACAAAAGAGAAAAACTGTGGTCAAGAAATAGCATATAGTCTAAACAGAAAAAATATTGATGCTTATAAAAATATATTAATACTTAGACAAAATGTTTACGATGCTGGATGATGCATCATTTTCATCTTCTCTAAACCAGTCTACACATGTATTCATCAACACGTTGAAGGAATCCTCCTCCCTACTAATTTAAATGTGCTTTTCTCTGCTCTGGATCAGAGTTGAGGGTGGGTGGTGGATTAGAGGTGGTGAGGGGAGGGTCGGGGGCGCTGGTTGCAGACAGTTAATAGCAACCTTATTGACTCTGGACCATCTGTTTTGGTGGATGCTGTCCAGCAGAAAAAAAAAAAAAAAAGAGAGAGAGAGAGAGAGAGAGAGAGAGAGAGAGAGAGAGAGAGAGA